GAAATAGTGTGAAAGGAAAGGAACAGAGAAATCAAAATCTTGCAGGGCCGAAGTGGGTGGAGAGGGTGTTTTTCTTTTAAAATACATGGGTGGTTTTAAGGAGAAATTGAAGCAGCCTGTTCAGACAATTGTTTTGGTATTTGGCCCCAGGTCTGTGGTTCCTAACATGACTTGTGATATTATTTTAAGTGGGCAGATGGTTTTTTGATAGTTTCTTTATCTTTTGATCTCAGCTCTTGCAAAGGGGAGGTTGGTGCTCATTGCAAGATCAGCGATAAGGTTTTCTTTGTAGGTCGGTGGCTTTCTTGGCGAGTACAGTTCAACTTATTATTGTTTCAAGACCCATGTACTGCTGGTGACTTGGAGCGCTGTTGAAGAACAGCCACCCCTTGTGACCCAGCCCTCTTGGGAAATGGTGGAGGATCTCAGAGGATATCCTTTACCTTTCAGAGACCTGTAGTAGAGGTCTTCCCATTCAGTAAATGTTGGCTGTAGGCTCACTGTGCACTGGGCACAGCCACACCCAGTGGTGGGGGGAGTAGAAATCTGGTAGCCATCAGGATGTATTAATAGTTCAGAAACCCAAACGACTGCTTTCCCTTGGTTGCCGGACCAGCCTTTTGATAACCCTTAGGCCCGGAGATGATCCAGCAACAAGCATTTATTGAGGGCCTACTATGTGCTGGGCATAGTGCTAGGTGCAAGCAAGGAAAAAAGACACAGATTGGCTCTAAGATGGCAAAGTACTTGCGGAACTGGGCGGGAGGGGCAGGGACAGTGGGTTTGTTGCATGAGACCTGGCAAAGCCCTGCTCTTCACTGGGCACTTTGCTGAGTATTTCTGTGTAAAGTTTCTTAATTCTGGCAACATTTCTTGTGAGATAGACTGTTTTTAATCCCTCTTTCCTGGATGAATAAACTGAGGCTCACAGAATCCAGTGTCCTAGGACCAGTGTGGGAGGAGCCCTCTTGGTCTGCCTTGGCTTAACACCCTTAGGAGGTATCCTGTTCCTCTTAAAAATAAATACCAAGAAAGCCTGTCCATGCCTTCAAACATCCCTCACCCAGTCCCTCAGTCTGGCTTCCAGTGGCTTCTAGTCTTACCTTATACTGGTCTCTGTTTCTGAGCTCCTGTCACTGTGGTCTTTCTGTTACTCCAAAGGGCCTTGTACCTTCCTGCCCAGGTCTTTGCTCACACTCTTCCTTTTACTAGGAATGTTTGTCCTGCACCCCTGACAATCTCCTTGTGTTGATCCTGCAGTTCCAAGAGGACTTTGTCATAGAAGTCTTCATCCCAACTTCCTTGGACCCTTGTTTTTTTCATAGTGGTGACCAGGCCAGCAGGCAAGCCGTGGTAGGGAATGGCATGTAGCAGAGCAGATGAGCATCACCACAAATTCAGGATAAGTTTTCACCCTACATGGCAGTCATTTTTCTGATCCACTCTTGTCTCCTCTCTGATACAACTCTTTCAAATGTTCTTTATCTTCAGACTTTACCTCCTGCTTCAAAAACAAAATAGAAACTATAAGAATAGAATTCCCTACAACTTACAGTCCCCAAGCCTGCAAACTGATTTCCCTCCCTTGTGTTACAGGTGTGTGTGTGTGTGTGTGTGTGTGTGTGTGTGTGTGTATGTATGTATGTATATATATATCCCTTCTACTCTACCAGGCTAGTTCCCCCTCCAGTGCTCTGGGTCCATTTTCTCCTACTTGTTCCAGAACCTGACATCATCAGTCACCCTTTCTATGGCAGGTATGCACGGCCCTGCTCACCTGATCCTCTCTTCTAACTTTACCCATGCCAGCATCTCTGGTGCCCTTACCGCCGCTCCCATCTTATTGCTGCTAATCACCATTCCCCCTTTACTACCCACCTCCCTCTAAGGTTTCACCTGCATTCGCTGTGTCCACTATCTCACCCCCATGTGTTTGTCAGCTCTCCACATCTGCCAGATTCCATAGGTGGCTTTCGGATTTCTTTCTTGAAGTAGTTGACTTCTATTGAAAATACTTTCTTCCGTCACCTTGGACCATGCTGTACTGCTTTTCCTCTTGACTCTGTAGTCCTTTTTCTCCTTCCTCTTTTCTTCAGCCTCATGGATCCAAACTTGGTATCTCTACTTGACTGATGCCTCAAAGAATCCTCAAGCTCCCCTCGTTTAGGACAGCATTCATCACCTGCCCTCACAGGGTCACTGAGCAGCCTGTCTCTCCCCAGCCTCAACATCCTTAAGCCCACCCTGAGCCTGCAGTCTGGGCAGAACCATTTTTTCTAGGACAAGTCTTTTCCTTTTCTAAAGGAACTGACCTCACTTTGCAGTTAGACCTTTCCTAGGGGATTATTGGGTGACTCTCTCTGCCCTGCTAGACTGTAAGCTCCGTGAGGGGTAGGGACATGGTCTGCTTTTGTTCACCACTGTATTCCTGCAGGCCTGCCATGGTGCCTGGCACTTAGCAGGTGCTCAATAAATGTTTGTTCAAAGAATGAGTTTGAGTATTTTTTTTTTATGTCTTCTTCCACACTGATCATAAGCTTCCTAGTCGGGTTTGCTCACCATTGTGTCCCCAGGGGCTGTCACCAGGGCTGATGCACAGTAAGGCCTCAGTGTTCTTTAGGTGTACCTATAACTGAGTAGATGGGGGTCCCACTTGATATCTGAGTTAGCAGCTGTAGGGGTAACTAGAACAAGTGGGGTTGAAACAGGATGGTCCAAGGGTTATTGTAGTTGTCTGGAGAGTAAGCATTTAATGTGAAAATAAACCCCTTTTATTCCATAGAAAACTGGTGGGCCATCATGGTTAGGGCTGTGGGCCTGAGGCCACATGCTATGAAAGTGGCAGAGCCAGAATCTGAACCCATGTGGTTCTGCTTTAGTGTCCCAGTTCTTAACTGCTGTACCAGTCTGGATGATGTGTCTTACCAGCTGGGCAATCCTGGGCAGGTTGGTTTCCTTTTCAGAGCTTTTCTCTCGGGAATTTGGAGGGGATTACTGTTACATGTGCTACTTAGGCTTTTCAAATATTTCCTCAATCTGCTCAGTGACTCACTGAGGTAGATATTACTACTATCCCCTGTTTACAGATGAGGAAACTGAAGCACAGAGAGGTTAAGTAACTTGCTCCAGTTCTCACAGCTGGTAGGTGGCAGAACTGGAATGATTCAGAATTGCATGTCCTGACCCTTTGTTGAAATGTGAAATCAATTTATTGGGTTCCAACAAACATTAAAAAAAAAAAAATACCGGAGTGCATCACAACATGAAGTGAAGGTAAGTATTGTTTGGTTCAAAGAACAGCATTTTTCAGTTATGTGTGTGTGCGTGTGTGTATTTACACATGTATGAGTGTGTTGGAGCATGATGTATTAATAGAATGGACTTTGTATTGTGGGTCATGGCCAGAGAATTCAGTCACTGCTGTAAAAGCTCACAGGACAGTAAACTCCCCTCCCTCCACCTGCTGGACTGTCCACATGCCCTGGAGTGGAGGGCGGCACACTTGCTGGGAGGGCAAGGCAACGACCCACATAGCTTGTTGGGAGATTTCACAGCCGCCTTCAAACCCTGTTCTTTTAAGAAAGCAGATGGCTCAGGGTAACTGGGATTCCAAGTATTGCGGGGCTGGTTTCTAAAGCTACTTGTCCCCCAAGAGAGTCAGCACATCTTCAGGCTGACTACATGGGAGCCTGGCTCTGCTGAGTTTCCCTGTGGGTTTCAGTGCCTGACCCACTTTGGCTTGGCAAAGTTCTTTGAAAAGTGCTGGGGGTGCACACAGGACTCGGGTAGTGGTGGTGATGGCAGTGTTGTGACTGCTCTAGAAGTCTGCTTTGCGTTCCTTTGTGGGACTTGGCCCTCAAAGGCTCACCCACCCTATTACTCTGGCGGTTCTTATTTCTCTTCTGTCTCAACTGGCCTAGGCTGCAGTCAATGTGGCCTTTCCAAAATCTCACCCCCTGATTTCCTGTAGGTACTGTTTGAAGTCAGCAGTCCTTGAGTTTCCTGATGGCAGGAGGAATTTTCAGGCAGGCCTGAGTTGGCTCCTGCCAGGTGATGCCAGCTTGATGTCTGCCCATGAAGTCCCCTGGTCTGTGTGCCTTGGCCCACTGCTACCAACTGTCCTTGAGGGGATGCCATGTGGCATTTGTGGGGCCAGTGCCTACAGAGTAGGTTTCCGTCTTGAAAATTAGCAGGCACACCGTAGGTACAGTTTTGTTCTTAATCTCTTCCTTCCCCATTTTTCTA